CTACCCAAAAGCATGTCGTAAGAGTCAACGTATTGGGAGCTTCCTCTGAAGTCGGAGTGCATCTGCCTGAGGCAAGAACCAGCAGTCTGCATACAAATAAGTCAGATCTTTCAAATGGATGCACAAGCAACACTCAGGTTCTGGAACAGGACTGCAGTCCAGAAGTGGATGAACAACCAGAACTTTCTTCCAGTTTACAGCTGGTGAATGCAAAGAAGAAGAAGAAGAACAGTACTTTAGGTTATGGAGACAACTAGTATATGCAGTCAACAGTACTATCCATTAAGTAGACTACATAACATAATCACTATAGACTGTCTAGAGAACTAGTATACATAATCAACATTTAAGTAAGCTGTTTACCCTTTACAGCATGTTGCAGAACCAACCCCAGCAGTTTTTGGCTGTCGCGGTTTTTCAAGGCAAATTTTATGTTCAGTCGTTTGCCACTGCTTTCATAATCAACAGTACTTTTGTTTATCTAACACATTGAATTAACAGTAGTCTAGGCTATAGTACATGTAATCAACTAGTAATCTTGGTTATAAAGACACGCAGCACACATAATGAACAGTACTTTAGGCTAAACATACAGCTAGTTTATGCAATTAACAGTACTTACTTTAGGCTAAACATACAGCTAGTTTATGCAATTAACAGTACTTTAGGCTAAACATACAGCTAGTTTATGCAATTAACAGTACTTTAGGCTAAACATACAGCTAGTTTATGCAATGAACTGTACTTTAGTCTATACAGACAACTAGTTTATGTAATGAACTGTACTTTAGTCTATACAGACAACTAGTTTATGTAATTAACAGTACTTTAGGATATACATTCAGCTAATTTATGTAATCAACAGTACTTTAGGCTATACATTCAGATAGTTTATGTAATCAACAGTACTTTGGGCTATGCAGAAACTAGTTTATATATCAACAGTACTTAAGGCTATACAGAACCTAATATATGTAATTAACAGTACTTTAGGCTGTGCATACAACTAATATTTGTAATCAATAGTACTTTGGGCTATACATACAACTAGTTTATGTAATCAACAGTACTTTAGGCTACACAGATAAACAGTTTATGTAATCAATAATACTTTAGGTTATACAGACAACTAATTCATGTAATCAACATTACTATAGGTTATACAGACAACTAATTTATGTAATCAACAGTACTATCGGTTATACAGACAACTAATTTATGTAACCATCAGTACTTTAGACTACACAGACAGCTAGTTTATGTAATCAACTACAGCTGGTCACTAGCACATGTAGCCAATAGTAAATAAGGCTATTAGCTCAACCTTATCTTCACTGGTAGTTGTGGCTGCACTCTGATTAGACGACGAAGATCTTTCATTCATTTTTGTGTTGGAAAACGTCCACTCCTTGTTCAGACTTCCAGCAACTGATACCCACAACTCAACAACTCTTGCACACAGTTCTCACAGTCGGTATTCTCCAGCAAGTCTGTCTGTTGCCCATGGAAAACATTTCACAGCAATATATTAGATTTCTGTCCATGAGATGTCTGTTCTGCCACCTACTCAGCACTCTTTGTGTGACTGATGAGCACTCACTTTGACTCTGCCCTGTCCGTTCATACAAACTCAAATAAACTCCAATTATACTCCTGCTAGTTACTCCCAACATGCTTTGTAAATTCTATCACAAAATATTTTGTGATAAATACAACAATTTTAACCTATTCAACACAAAACATTATAATAGTTTGAGAAAACAGTCTTCAGAAGTCATGCTAAACACATGAATTCTCAAAGGTGGAAGGCCAGTTTTTGGGGACAAAACAGTTTCATGTAGTAATGGCTCTGAAATCTAGAGTACTAAAAGGTCTTATTACAAACTTCTGAGAACCGTCTTATGTTAAATCTTTCCAAACATCAAAGACACAAACAACAGAAAGTGAGAAACAACAACAACATTTATAATCACTATAAGAGCTAACCGACTGCAATAGTTGGCTCGTACAGAGACTGACAGATGAGAGAGACACAACTGCATTCATAACAGAAATGAATAGGAGTAGACCACTAAGCATATCAATAAGATGATAGAGAGACTATATAGACAGATCTACAAACACTTAAAGTCAACAACTGGAAAGAGATGGCCAATCGCTGAGACAAATGGGGGAAGGTGATATCAAGGGTTCAGAATTGTGAAGAAAAAAATGGTTGAGGGTCACGGAGATTGAGACTAAAACGGAAATGTCCAGCTGTCACAAAAATTTCCAATCTCTTTTCTATATTTTAAGACATCATCAACAGTTGCAATTTCCTACTCATATATGAGGAACAACTTAAAACAATGTTATGCCAACAACATGACATCTCCATATTTTTTTCTTTAAAACACAAAACATTCCAAATGACTTCTTAAATTCACATACTGTTAGAAATGGCTCAGTCTTTCTCTAAAGAATGGCAAGACAGGTGCTGAAAGTGTCACACAAAGCATGAACACTGCAGTTCCAGCAACAATCCCTAGGGATCTCCTCAAAAATTGCACCCATGACCCTCAGAGCAGGAGTTAGACAACCACTTCACCACTGAGATCCCATTCACACTGTGTGAAGCAAAGAAAGAAATCTTGCACAAACTTTGGAAAACATGATATTTAAGAGTGAAGTTTTTGGACAAACCAAGTGCCCGTCAACTATTCATCTGAGTCAAGTTGAGTTGGGTTAAGAATTGACATCACAGCACTCAGGGCATTCCCATGCATGTTCTGTCCTCATCTTCAGCAGCCAGCGCACAGTTCCAATACTGATAGTACCAGTCACAATCTGTTATTCCATAGATGCATTACTCTAACAAACAATGATGTACCATTCTTCTGTCAAGAAGTAAAGAAATGACCTCACAGCCTTTGGGACATTCCCATAAGCGCTCTAGCACACTGTTCTTATAAGACTGGAAGTGTTTGGCCAGGCATGGAGTATTTGATTAATGAATGTATAGCAATTATTTTGGTCAAGATACTTGTTAACTTCAGAAACAGATCAGAATAAAAGCTCAGTTCTAAAGAAAACAACATGGAAAAAAGGTATGTTAGAAAGTCATTTTAAAAATGTATAACACATAGATTTACCAGAAACACATATTGCAGGCTGATGGTTCATCACCTTACATACAGATGCATTATGACTTCAAAAGAAACACAACATTTTTGTTAGGGAAGCAATGGGTCCATTGTTTATCTCCTGCTGCTAATGCAGATTTCTTGGTGAATTAATTTCAGGCATCATCATTACAGTTGAAAGCAGCTGCTGGGAGACTCTTCCAGGCCATAAACCGAGGGTTTCTTAGCAAAAGAGAAATTGGCAAGAGGACGAAAATGGCTGTTTACCGCTCTACCTATGTACCAGTCCTGACCTATGGGTGTGAGTCATGGGCAATGACAACAGCTCACAGAAGCCAGCTGCAGGCCTCGGAAATGAAATACCTGAGAAAGGTGGTCCAAGTGACAAGAAGGGACAAAGTCCGCAATCAGACAATACGTCAAGATCTTGATACCCAGCCCTTACTAACCCGAGTAGATCAGTCACAGTTACGATGGTTTGGACATGTATGCAGAATGGGAGAAAATCGGCCACCATGGCAAGCATGGGAGGGTAAGAACCAGGGAACCAGACCTCCGGGACGACCCAGGGTGCGCTGGGAAGACAACATCCGACAGTCCCTAACTGACAGAGGACTGGAATGGAACAAAGCCAGAAAGAAAACTGCTGATAGAGACGTCTGGCGAACTCTCTGGCAAACCTCTACACCCCAAGGTAGAAGAGTAGCGGCTAAGTAAGTAAGTAAGTATCATTACAGTTGTATCTGCCCTCAATATTCCCATCGTTCTAACAAATGAAACCTTTGCCGCCCCTTGTGCTTATGTAAAAACTTATTTTGGGTGACTCTTCTTTTTCTTCTTAGATGACTCAAACCGAAATCTTTTTCTTTTCCAGTCTGTTTTCAATGGCTGTAAACTCTGGTAGATAGTCCTAGTTCTTTGTCAACTTCTGGACTTCAGTCTTCTCCAGAACTTAAGTTCTGCATTTACATCCATTTTCCAATCTGGCTTATTTGTATGCTGCTGGATCCTCGCCTCACAGACAGGCAGATGAACTCTGACTTCGAAGGAAACAACACCAACTGTCAAATTTACCACATGCTTGTTGTGGTGGTGTATTTTCTTTTTCTCTTTTTCGCGGATCCTGGAACACATATGAGGAAAAAATATGAACAACTGTCATTTGAAGAAAAGAAAAAAGTTGACTGCATGATCAATAACTATACAAACACATGTACAATTTGCTGACAAAGCAAATTACCTCTTTATGTGCCAAGGAACACATCACACACTTAGTTATAACTAATTTAGGGTTCAATAGCACTGAAAGAGTTACTGCTTGCTTTCACCTCACAACATCAAATAAAAAATAAAAGATAAAGAAATGTTCTAAACAATTCACCAAAATGAAATCACAATTTAGCAAATAAAAAATACAGAGCATTTATAAATGTTATCTTTATTTCACATCACTAAATTTACAGATGTTTATGTCGCTGAACACCACTAAATTTATAGATGTTTATATATTAAAATTCACATCACACAGTGAACAAATCAATATAACAGGGTCAATAAGAACAGCTCTCATGCTTTGATTTCAGTTCAAATAATTCCTTGGACAGCTAAAAGAAGTCTGTAAAGATGTGCCAAAAATGACATGGGATCTGATGTTTCATTCTTATATACAATGCCTAGAAACCATTTCTCTGGCAGATACACATATATCAAAAAGCTCACTGAATGTCCGTGATGCTGAATATTCACAACTGAAGACTTAGTTCTCCATGCTCAATGTTACAGATATCAATGTTTATAATAATTATTCCCTGCTTTCAAGTGAGGTTCCCACCCACCATGACGAGTGACTGAGATCTATCAAAGGCTGTGATGATTGATTCAGCCTCTGCCTGCCGTGGGTGCGGTAGCCGTGGTGCACTGTGCTACCTGTGCTGCCTTTTGCTTCAGCATTGTCCAGTCAAATGTGTAGTCATACTGGTAGTTGAGGGTTCGGAAGAGGATTCGGAAAAGCTGGCGGAGATACATATAATCTGGAGCCTCTTCAAAACGAAGACCACGACAGTAATTCAGATACATGGCAAATTCAGCAGGAAAACCCTTGCAGAGAACTTCAACTGGGGTGGACATTTTCTTTTCACTGATTTTCTCATATTTCTGCTTTTTGGTGTTGGCTTTGAGGCCCTGCCATGGTAGACTGCCTCTATTGAAGTACATGAGGACATAGCCGAGCGATTCCATGTCATCTCTACGACTCTGCTCAATACCAAGATGAGCATTGATACTGGCATATCGAGCAGTGCCGGTTAAATTCTTATCTTCACGATAGGGGATGTGTGTACGAGTTCTGCTATCCCTGTACTTCTTAGCCAGCCCAAAGTCAATCAAGAAAACCTTATTGCAATGTCTGCCAATGCCCATGAGGAAATTGTCTGGCTTGATATCTCTGTGTATGAAGTTCTTGTTGTGGACATACTCGATACGTCCGATCATTTGATCTGCAAGCATGAGCACCGTTTTCATTGTAAACCTTCTGGAGCAGAAGTTGAACAAGTCTTCTAGACTTGGCCCCAGAAGATCCATAACAAGAACATTGTATTCTTTCTCCTGCCCATAGTAACGGATGTGAGGAATACCCACACCACCTTGGAGAATTTTGTACAGCTTGCTTTCGTATAAAAGTTGAGGATGCCGGGCCTTGCAAGACTCCAGCTTGACAGCAACCTCTTCACCGTTTGTTATGTTGATCCCGAGATAGATGTCACCAAATGACCCACTGCCGATCTTACGGACCAATCTGTACTTGAGACCGACTATGAACTCTCCCACCTGCTTCCCTGCCCGTTCCTGCGGCTGCTCCATAGCTACGAGGACGAGTTTCGAATAATTCACAACCACAGAAAATCCCCGAAGTGAAATCTTGTCCGTTCACTGAGGGAATCGGGAGGCCATCTTGGGTGTAGCAGTGCCTATCCCAGAGTTCCACCTATAGCAGACGACGGGGCAGAGCGCATGTCAGGGCGGAAGTTTGGAGCAGACGTTGACGACAAAGAGGCTGCTAGACCCAGCAGGCCAGCCAGCCAGCAACACATGAGATACAACACAACCCACAACACAAACTCTACACCTCGCCAGTTTCATTCACTGACACCACTAACTTGTAACTTGTTCGCATCTTTCACCATGAGGGGGAATGCTAAAATGTCGCGGAACAGATCTGTTTCTGATGCTCCAAACCCATTTGTGCATGAGCTGAAGCTTACTTTCTTGGATAAACTGCAGGTTAACTATTGAATTGTATTATTATTATTATTATTGTGTGTGAAAAAATCGTTCTTGTTTGTTGTGTATTTTGTATTGTCACTTTAACAAAAGTAAGTACACGCCGGCAACAGATAGCAGAAGAGCGCAGTGCAACTTAACAAGGTACCCGGATTTGTTCAGTGCCTGTGGGTATGTGCAGTAATGAAATGGATATTTTGTTTCAAATCGCAGCGTCAAAATATGAATTTCAAGTGTTCGCGCTAAACTTGAAATGATGTTTGTTTTAACTTAAAAAACTAAATGAGAATGGTGTAAAGTTTGCAACTGAGTCACAGTGTCAGACTTGTCATGTTGTATTGATTACAGGTATATTATCGAACAATAATTAATCATTCGAATTTCTCAGTGACTAGCATTATTTAGTTTGCTTCTTGGTTGCTGAGGTAAATTTTGTTTTTTTTTTTTTTTTTTTTTTTGGTTCTATTGGACCATTTGTCCAGTTTTACTTTTGCTACAGTAAATTCTTGTAAATAAAGCAGTGCATATTTCAGTTATATATAGGAAAAGTTAAACTTGGATATAAAGGCTGAGAGTATTGACTCACTCACTGTGAGAAATAACTTAAGAATGCATTAATATAGCAGTTGTCTAAGCTGTACAGAATAGGTTAAAAGCAATAAGAAGACTGTATGTACGAACAACTTTGAACCAAATATTTGTATTCACCTGATTCAGAATAAGTTGTATTATTTAGGAAACATTAAAGTTAGGATGCTAATTTGAATGCAAGTTTCAGAATATATCAAAATGTTCATCTCTTTAATAACCACAGATCATACAGTATCATACTGTCAAGATGCTTATACTAGTTTTTCTATGCCTAGAATTAAAAATATCCAAGATTAACACATGCTTTTGCAGTCTTTATTTAACTTTTAGTATTCCATGCTTCACTAAGTTTTGTATCCTTTACAGGATGTTGCAGAACTAACCCTTGCATTGCTCTTGTAGTTTTTCTAGGCAAGTTTACATCCATTAGTTTGCCATTGCTTTCTGGATGGTCGGCTGTCAATAGCACTGTTAAAACCAGCGCAAGGCCTGCAGCAGGGATCGAACCCAGCATCCCATCATAACAAAAGCTTCACTTTAAAAAAACTGCCCCAAATTTGTTAAACAATATATCAGTTTGCCCTCTCTGTGATGCTAAATAAAGATTTAGTCTCTGCGGCATATCAATAGGGCAGACCCCAGCTGCCCCATTTAACCTCCAAAGAAGTTATACTCAGGGCACCTGTAATGGCTGGACCAGCCCATTGTAACGTGCTGCAGTCGGGCTAACGATGTGCAGGTGCCGAGGCACCCGAAGACCGTGACGTATTTTAGTGCTGCTGCGGCAATAATCAAGAAAAGTCGGCTAGAAATTGTGAAAGCATGCATGTAGATACTAAAAAGTTAAAATTCAACGCATAGTTCCAGAATTGTTTGAGGACCGCTGTGTTAACGCATAGTTAGCCCGCCTGCGCCAGCAGCATCATTTAGCCGGCCATGACAGTTTAGTAGCATCAGCATACAGTCAACAGTAGGCCTGCATCACATTTATACTGTTACTGTTACAGTCCCAGAGAAGCGAAGCACATTTTGCCACTATTCATGTATAGGACCACAAAAGGGGTTCAAAAAATGGACCATAAATTCCCTTTAAAGTAGAAGATTGACTTACTACACAGTAACATTTGAGTATCTGGTTTATAATATGTACAACAAACATGACAGCCAATTTGTTAATTAGTGTTTATTTGATGGTGTGTTGGCTGGTACACAGTGAGTTAGACTTGCGTAAAGTCTGAAGTTAAGAGTGTCAACTTCATTGGTTAAAGGTCGAGGCTACGGTCATCATCACAGTTAGAGACTAATGTCATCATCACAGTTAGAGACTAATGTCATCATCACAGGTAGAGACTAATGTCATCATCACAGGTAGAGACTAATGTCATCATCACAGGTAGAGACTAATGTCATCATCACAGGTAGAGACTAATGTCATCATCACAGGTAGAGACTAATGTCATCATCACAGGTAGAGGCTAATGTCATCATCACAGGTAGAGGCTAATGTCATCATCACAGGTAGAGACTAATGTCATCATCACAGGTAGAGACTAATGTCATCATCACAGGTAGAGACTAATGTCATCATCACAGGTAGAGACTAATGTCATCATCACAGGTAGAGGCTAATGTCATCATCACAGGTAGACTAAAGCCATCATCACAGGTAGAGGCTAATGTCATCATCACAGGTAGAGACTAATGTCATCATCACAGGTAGAGACTAAAGCCATCATCACAGGTAGAGAGAGAGGTAGAGACTAAAGTCATCATTACATGTTCAGACATCACAGGTAGAGGTTGAAGTCATCATCACATGTAGAGGCTAATGTCATCATCACAGGTAGACTAATGTCATCATCACAGTTAGAGACTAATGTCATCATCACAGGTTCAGACTAATGCCATCATCACAGGTTCAGACTAATGTCATTATCACAGGTAGAGACTAATGCCAACATCACAGGTTCAGACTAATGTCATTATCACAGGTTCAGACTAATGTCATTATCACAGGTAGAAGATAATGCCATCATCACAGGTTCAGACTAATGCCATCATCACAGGTTCAGACTAATGTCATCATCACAGTTAGAGACTAATGCCATCATCACAGGTTCAGACTAATGCCATCATCATAGGTTCAGACTAATGTCATCATCACAGTTAGAGACTAATGCCATCATCACAGGTAGAGGCTAATGCCATCATCACAGGTTCAGACTAATGTCATTATCACAGGTAGAGGCTAATGCCATCATCACAGGTTCAGACTAATGTCATCATCACAGGTAGAGACTGATGTCATCATCACAGGTAGTGGCTAATGTCATCATCACAGTTAGAGACTGATGTCATCATCACAGGTAGACTAATGTCATCATCACAGTTAGAGACTAATGTCATCATCACAGGTAGAGGCTAATGCCATCATCACAGGTTCAGACTAATGTCATTATCACAGGTAGAGGCTAATGCCATCATCACAGGTTCAGACTAATGTCATTATCACAGGTAGAGGCTAATGCCATCATCACAGGCTCAGACTAATGTCATCATCACAGTTAGAGACTGATGTCATCATCACAGGTAGTGGCTAATGTCATCATCACAGGTAGTGGCTAATGTCATCATCACAGGTAGAGGCTAATGCCATCATCACAGTTAGAGGCTAATGTCATCATCACAGGTAGTGGCTAATGTCATCATCACAGGTAGTGGCTAATGTCATCATCACAGGTAGTGGCTAATGTCATCATCACAGGTAGTGGCTAATGTCATCATCACAGGTAGTGGCTAATGTCATCATCACAGGTAGTGGCTAATGTCATCATCACAGGTAGAGACTAATGTCATCATCACAGGACTAGTGGCTCACAGGTATGTAATCATCACAGGTAGTGGCTAATGTCATCATCACAGGTAGGTAGTGGCTAATGTCATCATCATCACAGGTAGTGGCTAATGTCATCATCACAGAGGTAGTGGCTAATGTCATCATCACAGTAGTAGTGGCTAATGTCATCATCACAGGTAGACTAATGTCATCTAATGTCATCATCATCACAGGTAGAGACTAATGTCATCATCACATCATAGTAGGACTAATGTCATCATCACAGTATCACAGGTAGAGACTAATGTCATCATCATCACAGGTAGAGACTAATGTCATCATCATCACAGGTAGAGACTAATGTCATCATCACAGGTCACAGTTAGAGACTAATGTCATCATCACAGTTAGGACTATGTCATCACTAATGTCATCATCACATGGTAGAGAGACTAATGTCATCATCACAGTTAGAGACTAATGTCATCATCACATGTCTAATCATCACACAGTAGAGACTAATGTCATCTAATGTCATCATCACAGTTAGAGACTAATGTCATCATCAGGTTAGAGACTAATGTCACAGTTAGACTAATGTCATCATCACAGGTAGAGACTAATGTCATCATCACAGGTAGAGACTAATGTCATCATCACAGTTAGAGACTAGATGACTCATGTCATCATCATCACAGTTAGAGACTAATGTCATCATCACAGTTAGAGACTAATGTCATCATCACAGTTAGAGACTAATGTCATCATCACAGGTAGAGGCTAATGTCATCATCACAGGTAGAGACTAATGTCATCATCACAGGTAGAGACTAATGTCATCATCACAGGTAGAGACTAATGTCATCATCACAGGTAGAGACTAATGTCATCATCACAGTTAGAGACTAATGTCATCATCACAGTTAGAGACTAATGTCATCATCACAGTTAGAGACTAATGTCATCATCACAGTTAGAGACTAATGTCATCATCACAGGTAGAGACTAATGTCATCATCACAGGTAGAGACTAATGTCATCACAGATTAAATTAATTTTGTTTCAAATAGTGGCTTAGATCATCCTTAGAGTTTCTGCAGATTTGTCCTGTAACCTCAAGTTATTTTATATAATCTTTTGGTCACATCAGAATATGTACAACAGACATTACAGCCGCATTGTTAGTTATTGTTTATTTTATGATGTTTTAGCTGGTACACAATGAATTAAACTTGTGTAAAGTCTGAAGTCAAGAGTATCAACTTCATTAGTTTTATACCATGCAGTCTTTTCTCTGAAAAATGGCTAGCTACCAGTTGAGATTATCCCACAAGGCATGAACTCCGTAGCTCTAGCTCTGATCCCCGGAGATCTCCATAAAAATTGCACCTGTAAACCAAACGACCCTGTCCATGAAACTAATCCAAAACCTTCAGAGCTTGGGGCAAGCAGCTTGAACACTTGACCACGGAAATCTGCCAGAACTTGGGTAGCACAGCTTATGTGCAACTTCTGCTGTATGCACTGAAACATTTTCTAGTGAATGGTTGGCATCTGTTGTTAGTTAGATGTGTCTAGCTTTATTGAGTGACTTGAACACATTTCTTTTTGACAACCTTTTCTGTCATTCATTGTACATTGTTAATCAGCTCAGGCTAGTTTAACACCCATAACTTTGGTCATAAAATTGACCTCTCCATCAGCTCAGCTATCGCCATTTATTTATTCTTCTCTTTATATTTTTTTATGGAGGCCGTGTTAGCTCAGTCGATAGGAGACTCACTTTCAAATCCAGCTGCGACTCACTGCAGCCCAGGGCCGGTGTTCGAAACCGGGTGGTTCCAGGGGTTCACCCAGCCTGAAGGTAATGGATACCAGAGTTAACAGTCTGGGGTAAATGGAGGAAAATCGCTGTAGCTACAGAGTTTCATGCAGACGGCGACACATGCGGAAATTTTTTTTATCAGCTATCCGTACTGGTGGCAGAGCACTTATTGTTTCTAACCGTGTGCAGTGACGCTGGTTCAGGTCTCCCGATTTTACCCTTTTTTATCTTTGTATCCATATAATTGTCCTCTCCATCTCAGCTATCTCCACTCATTCTTCTCTGTGTTTGTGTATCCATAGAATTTACCTCACTCCCAGCCCCGCTGTCTGTGCACATTCTCGTCTTCTGTGTATTTTTGTCTCCATTCTATATGGTTTGTTGATATCTGCCAAGAGGAAACTGCTGTAGTGATTAACATTCTTGAAGTCAGCCAGGAAATGATAACTGCAAGAGAGAGGCTGGTGTTGGAACCGTGGGCTTGTGACAGGTGTCTCATATCAGGGCCGGGCAATTATTGAGGGCATGGAAAGCTATCAAAACTGACATGCTGCTGTTTGAAGTACTGTAATCAGTCACTTGATACAGGATGCTTTCTCACTGCACTCCCAGATCAGTAGTGGACTGTGCACTTTGTGAGAGAATTTGAAGTGTCTTGCTGATAGGCTTGGGTGGTTATGATTGTACACACCCTCGCAGTCTTCTAGCGCTGTTTATGTTCCTGCCTAGCTCGGTTGTCATAGAATATAAATAGTGGGGGGGAAAGGGTTTTGTGGGATGAAATAAGATAAGTCTGACCCTTTAGATTAGACTATCACAAGATGATTGAGATAATTCCATTTTATGTGTGTGTGTGTGTGTCTCTCTCTTTCTTCTTCTTCCATTTTTGTCTTTGAAAAAAAGGGGAGGGGCAGGGGGGTTCTTGGTCTGTTATTTATGTTATTTTGTAATGTACAGTTAAGACAATCTCTGCACCTTTCGACCTAATACAGTGTCTCCTCGACTTGCAACTAGGTTCCATTCCAAGATAACTGATCAGTAAACAAGCTTATATTTGTCAGTACTATTTTGATTCAAATGGATTACAACAATTGTACATAAAATACAAAAAAAATGCAATCTGTGTTTTTATAATTATTGTACATAGCGGGAAAAATACATAAAATGTACTCTGTGGTGTCAGCTCTGGGAACTTTGTGACCCTACCAATGCAGTTATCTTTCTTGAATTACTTTTGTTTTTTGTTAATGTGGGGTTTTTTTGGGGGGGGGGGGGGGGGGGTCAAAAGTTGCAAAGGTTGTAAGTTGAAGAGAAAGTGTACAATGGATTTTGGCAAACCCTAATTGTTCACTTTTGACAACATGGTTGTTGGGGGGGGGGGGGGGGGGGAGTGAATTATTGTTTTCACTTAGTTGACTCAGGAACCAACATGAGGGACAACTGGTTTTTTTTTTTTTTTTCAGTTACTCCAGTTTGTAATTCTGTTATTCTAGATTCATTTTTTTCAAGGCTAGTGCACTTGCTGGCTGATGTGGCAGTCTTTGATTAAACCTGCTACATTCAAGTCATGTGTTGTAGCCACAGGATAAAGTCTTGACGTTTTCTTCCTGTGTGGGTTCTGTGGCCTCATTATAGACAACAACCAAAAAAAATAAAGACTTAGAGGAGATGATGTGTTGTGTGTGTGCATGCACACAATTGTTGTTTGACTTTACTGTCAAAGATTTCAGAACCTACCGTTACCGATGATAAATTTATTGTCTACAGGGAAATAGAACAAACTGTTTAATAAAAGCTATATATCCTGTCATGAACCATAAAAAATAAATCAATATTAGCCGTCTTGAACACATAAGGAAGCAATGTATATATGGTGCTATTGCTGTACTTATTTCGTTTGTTTGCCTGTCCAGACGCTGGTTCCGTTTCACTTCCCCAGAAGATCAGGAAGGGTAACCTGGGCAACAAATGCCTGGAGTAGTTGCATGTGGCAGCGCAAATGTCGCAGCCATACTGTCATCTGGCACAATGCAGTTACATCCTTGGATGAACAAGCAAAAAGAAGAATTCCCCAGAAGGGGCAGACATTTTTCTCACTAATACGTTCACCTCTAGCCTTATAAAAATGGCTACTGGTTTTCAGAATCTCTCAAGAATTATCTGGAAATAAAGGTAATAATAAAAGGAACTAGCCACCTCACATCATATATTGTGACCTAGAATATTTGAAAGGTTAACACTTGACTGCTGTTTGCTGACTGCAGTACCAAAGATTTTTTTTTTAGATCCCTTTTCACGCCTTTAGGCGTATCGAGCATATGGAAAGAGCACCCATATTTTTACAGACCATCAGCACTTGGTGGGTAATGTGGTCAGCATTACGCCGACTGTCTTTACTTTCCAAGGACAGCCCATCCTGGTACCTATTCTAGGTTGGGTCGACCTGCGACGTCCCATACCATGATAAAAATCCACACAGCCCACAGTGGGTTTCGATCACGGTACGTTGGATTACGAGTTGGGCTCATAACGCCTAAGCCACGGACGCCGCAGTACCAAAGAATGGGATATTTTATTTGTGACTGCACAGATTGTCAAAGTTGATCGAGTATCATATTTAATTTGTTCCTACACAGGTTGCTGTAATGTCTGTGACTGTGGCTCCAATCCGCCTTATATTTGTTGTGTTATTTCTACTGATGGTATGGCCTATAGTTGCCCTTGCTGTTGCATTTCGCTCAGAAGAGGATAGATTGAAACCAGTCAGTGGGTGGAGATTGTAAGTACAGTTTAATCTTACAGACTCATTCATTGTCATTTGACAGTGTTGTTTTTGCTGTTTTTTAAATTTAAAATATGTGCCATCTTTACAAGTGAAGATTGGCTGCAGTGTACATACACATCAAGTATTCAAGGAAAATGAAAGTGTTAAAACGCGTTCACTTACCTCTGAACCCCAGTACGCCAGTGTGACAGTTATGTAGCAGTAAAATCCCATGTCATAATACCAGCAAAGAAGTTGAATATTTTGAGGACATACAGCTTTCCTATGGCAGTAAGTAAAAAAGTAAAGTAAAGATCCCTTTTCACGCCTTTCGGCGCATCGGGCATATGGGCAGAGTGTCCCATATTTTTACAGACCATCAGCACTCTGTGGGTAATGTGGTCAGCATTACGCCGGCTGTCTTTACATTCCCAGGACAGCCCATCCTGGTACCCATTTTAGGCTGGGTCGACCTGCGACATCCCATATCACGATAAAAATCCACGCAGCCTGCAGTGGGTTTCGATCGCGGTATGCTGGCTTATGAGTCGGACTCGCAACGCCTTAGCCACGGACGCCGCTTCCTATGGCAGTGCTCATATGTAAGTCATGGGCCCATTTCACAGTCACTGAAGAAGAAATTTGGGACATTTGAATTTAAATGTTACAGAAAGTTAATGCAATTTCAAGAATCAAGAATAAAAACGTACATTCTGTGATGTCCAGATATTGGGAGAGAGGGAAACAACTGGTTCATAAACATCATTATATCTCAGAAACTGAAATATTTATTTTATATGAAATGCTACGAGGGCTTATGAAGAATTGTCATGGAAGACATGGTTGGAAAAAAAGGCATGGGATGACAAAAGTACATGGTATTGAAGGCATCCTGGGCAGGAGAATACCTGAGATATTAGAATTAGCATAGAGCAGAAAAATGTCCCAGTTAACCTCGGGTGGAGAAATGGTGTGCAAAAGACCTTGCTTTTTAATAAATGTGAATTGTAAGGTTCTCTCAAGTTTTTTTTTTAAATAATAAATGGAAATAAAATGTTTCAAGATAGGTAATGTGTAGGTGTTATTTGATAGACTTTCACTTATAGCATTCTGTTTTACTTGGGTCATAGTCTGTTACTTAAAAAGTCCATTAATGAAAACCACAAAGGAAAACACCTAAATAAATGTAAGATGCACGGAACACATAAGTTGCTGTGGTGTACTTGCGTAAAAGAAGTAAACATATGAGAAGGTGGACATTGGCAAATCATTCTTGATATATTGCATGTTCATCTCGTGAATTTCATATCAGCTGTATTTTTATTCAGTCAGTTAAACCAGCAAAATAATCTTTCCAGAAGTTTCTTGGTCCACCTCTGGCTCCATCCCTTGTTCCTCTTATGGAGTTTGCCTTGTGTTGTTTGTCATCTCGAGGCATTCCATACTAGAAGCAATTTGTGCCTTTAGGGCTGCCTGTTGAAGATGTTCTCCACCTCTCATCTGTACAACTGCATTATCAATTCATATGCTGACACCTTTTCTGTCCATGACAACAAAAAAAATGTCAGGAATCTGTTGTTGCTCATTTCACTGCCTCTGTTTCCATAAATTTCTCAAGTTATCACTTTTTCCAAAAGTTCTCTTCTCCTAAGCTTGGGCAGGCTTGACTGCCTTTTGCTGATGTTTATGATAAGCTGTCTGCATTTGTTAGCCTCTTTAAAAACTTGTTGGCTGTCGTAGGAATTGTTGGCTTTCTGTAGAATCTCATATCAGAGCCCCCAAGATATTTTATGTTTGTGTTTTAATTGTCCAGGATGAGTTGAAGTTCTTTCTTTATGGTCCATGGAAGGAAACTGAAGCACTTGTTGAAGTTAATGCAGATATGGAAAGTAAATTTTTTTTTTTTAAATCAAGCATCTGATTAATCATTTTATATCCATACACCATATGTGATAATGCCAACCCCCAGTAACACCAGAGATTAAACAAATTATAAATACATAACTAGAAACCAGATTTGTGATTTGGCATGTTTTGGCACAGGGTATCATGTACTCATATTCTCTTCTAGATTGTTAAGGCCAGTTGTCCTTTTCCTATGCCGTGCTGTGTTTTTCGCTGGTGGATTCTACTGGGTGACAGTGAAAGGAAAGCAAGCAAGTTCCAAAGAAGCTCCTATTCTTTTGGTAGCTCCTCACTCATCCTTCTTTGATGCATTGCCGGTTGTGTTTCTTGGACTTACTTCATTGGTAGCCAAGGCATCAACACATCAAATTCTGTTGTTTGGAAGTAAGTGTCTGTGTCGTGTGCTAACTCTTGTTTTTGTCTGTGTAAGTGTGTCCTCTGGCTTTAAGTTGAATGTATACACAGATCTAAAGATAGTATTGCTAGCTTTATATTTCAAGTGCAGGATGTTCTCCAGCACAGTGGTTGTATTCCTGACCAGCTATGCTCTCTCTCTCTTTCTCTCTCTCTCTTTCTCGCTCTTCTCTCTCCTTTCTCCAGAGTTCTCATATTTTCCAGAAGTTCTCTTCACCAAAGTGTGGGCGAAAATGACTTCACCAAAGTGTGGGCGAAAATGACTTCACCAAAGTGTGGGCAGAAATGACTTCACCAAAGTGTGGGCAGAAATGACTTCACCAAAGTGTGGGCGAAAATGACTTCACCAAAGTGTGGGCAGAAATGACTGAATCTTGTTGATGTTTATGAAGTGCTCGGAAGTGATGTGATATATGGACATCTCAATATAATATATATATGTATATATATTCTCATAGAAAAACAGTGATGGATGTGAATATTGTGTGGGAAGAGCAGAAATAAATGCAGTATGTATGTACAATAAGATAACTGGAAAGTAATGGAAGAATAATATTTCTGAAATGTTTCTTATGGGGACATCCTTTAAAAATATTACATTTTACTGTGATACAAGTCTCTGGACATTTTGCTGACATTGAAATAAGCACCCAGAACCTTTTGAGGAAGCATGACCAGCTCTTTAGCTAGGCTGTCTCAGGATAACCCTGGATAGTCTTTCTCATCACCAGTATCAGTCGTGTAGAACAAGACCACATGGTGAC